AATTATAGAAATCTTCTTTAAATTTGAAAATCAAGAAAATTTATTTAAACAATATTTCAACTTAAATTGCCATTTATATTTTAATAACTAAAACAATCCCTCTATTTAGTAAACAAAATAAGCATACAGCTTTAACAGTGTTGCTTAGTCAGCAACTCAGCATTGCAGTAAACAAGTCTGTCTAGCTAGTGATCCTGTCTGTCTGGGACTATGTTTTGATTTATGTAAAAATTACACAGTCAGCAAAAAATTGAATCTGGGTTATTTCGATTTGCCATGATTGCATTGGTTGGTTAATGATCAAATATGATAGTATAGACCATAATTGTGGAGTATATGATGATTTAGGACTGTGCAATTTAGCTTTGTAGTTAAAATTAAGTTCTTAATTTAACATGAAAATTATTCTGGTATAAGTAATAATATTATGTAAAAATCAAGTGTAGCCAAACCGCAGCTGTCGAGTATCCGAAACTTTATCATCATTAAGCTACCCCTAAATATTGTTTAATTGTTCTCTGAATTATTTTTTCATATATAGGAACAAAATGAGAGGGTAAGAAGATCATATTTCAAAAGTTCAAAAATAAGCTCCACCCTAATATATATATATATAACACATACACACACGCACACACTTTAAAACTTAAGCATCTTTGAACCTCTTATATATAAAACACAGTAAAACTATATAAAATATTTTTAAAAAATTTTTATAACTGAAAACCTTTCCATTTAAAAAAATTAACAATAATAAGAAAACAAAAGTTTTAAATTAATAATGTGAAGAAAACTACTTGAAATTTAATGAAAAGAAATTCAAAAAACACTTGTTTGTGTTTGTGTTTTTATATAATAAACTTATGTATGTATTCATATAAAGTTTTAATGTTTTCTGCCTACAAGTATGCAGGCCTAGTTTTAAAGCGTTACTCCTAGAGCGATTTTTGTACGCCTTAAGCGATTTTTACGTACGTCTAGAGCGATTTTGGTTAAGCTACTTTTTATCATTTTTTAACTTTTAAATTAGCAGTAACATAAAAGAATTAATTAATTTTTAAAAAAACCACATTAACTTTTGAATAGCGATATGTAAAAATATTTGTTACAAAAAAGAAGTTATGTTAAAGATAATTGTAGTAACTTTTCATTGCGATATATCTTACCTGTTTATAGCAATTAGTTTTATGATTAACTTTTTATCTAAATATTAGCAACATGAAAAATTGTTTGTCAATCCTTAACTACATTTTTTTGTAAATGTTTTTAATAAAAAGTAGTAATTTTTTAAAGTTTTTAGTAAAAAATCTATATTCAGTAAAAAATATATAATTTATTAATACAGAATATAAATGTTTTTTGTAATATAGATTTTTTTAGGGTTTTTTACTAAATCTTTAATAATATCTCGAAAAAATGTCTTAATATTTTTGTTATCATGATAACAAAAATATCTAGACATTTTTTCGAGATATATAAAAAAAAGTGCCAATGAATGAATAATATATTTGTACTGTACTAAAAACTACTTCTTTATTAATTATTACTCTTTGCTTTTTTATTAGTTAAAGGTATATAGATACCTTTACCTTTAAGTTATGCAGGGGGAGGGACCAACACAGAAAAAAAAAAATTACCTGTTACTTGCAATTTTTGAATGAAGGCAATTTGTTAAGTTTCTTCTGCATGTGATTCAATAAGTTTTTTTTTCATAAATCAAGTTAAGTTATGAGGTAAAGAAATCACGAGTAGACTATAACATCCGCTGATGACACTAATATTACGTTGTATATATTTATATAACGGAGGTTTCATTATACACGCACATAATACAGACTCTGTTAAATAAATACTAAGGCACGTTTTAGTTAAATGACAGTCTATTTTTTACTAATGACTATGTATTTTTCTTTATAAAATAATACAAACTAGTATATAAAAACCTATTATATTTCTATTTTCTCCAAATTGTTTAAAGTTCAAATTTCGATTGCATTTGAAGGACAAAAGATTTACTTTGAAAACTTTAAAATCCTGGGATTTTTCCGCTGCTTTTCGAATCTACTATCACAGAAAAAAAGTAGACTTGCGTTATTAAAATCAAATGTAAGTTATGTAATCTTTATCAAAATAAAATATTATCCAAAACCAATGGTGCCGTAAGGGCAGCTACCCTACAGTTTATAAATATACAGTTATAATAATACAGTTCAATAAATAAATTAAATTTGTTCTTAACAAAGATTACCTCATATTTATTCTTTTTTTATTTTATTATTCCAAGTTAAATTGCTTACAAACAAAAACAAAACAAAAAAGAGTTTTGTAATTATACGTAGAATAAAAATACTTTTGAATTTGTTTATAAGTTTAGGAACTTAATTTTTAATGAACAAATTTTTACAAACGTTTACTATTAATAGATATAATTCAAATTATTAAATATACTTATATTATTTTAGTTGAGTATTTTTTTAAGTTTGCACGATTAGAGTATTGTGTAGAAGTATTTAAAATGTTTTTTGTTTTAAGAATAATTAACAAAAGAGTTTGCATAATTAAGACTTTTATATTTAATTTAATTTTTTTTTTTTTTTAATTCATAAAATTCAAAAAAAAAAAAAAAAATTAATCGTTAAAAATGATTTTTCTCTATAGCTCTGTGTTTCTTTGTGGTTTGTTTAAAATCTAAAGCATTTTTACAATAACGTAAAAAATTTATAAATTAAATTCCTGGTGAACGCGTTCTAATACCGGCTGTCATAGATATTGCCTGGCGCTTTATCTCAACAGCATTAATTAATAATAATAATAATAATAATTAAATTACGTATCAAAAGCAGATGCTCAAAGCAGACATAAAACTTTTTTATATTTTGAAACAACGCAAGTTAAAACACTAGGCAACATAAATTTTAAAAATATTTAAAAACCTAAATTATTCTTTGCTAGTCAAAACAAAATTGCTGTTTAAATAATTAACAAGGGTTTTTGTTTATCAATATGTTAATATTTTTTGTTTACTCCCGAAACGATTTATAAACAATAATTATTCAAAAACAAATTTCAGAAATAATTAAAAAATATATATATATTTTTTTAATATTAAAATAACAATTGAAAACATAACATAATAAATTTACATTTAAAACATTTATAGTTGTGTACCTCAGAGGTCAACTATCATAACTCACATTTGACAAATTTTACAGGAGAGCCAAATGAAGTTATTACACTTCTTTTTCTGTTAAGAAACAGCTTTTTTTATTTTTAAAATTGATATTTGAAGTTAAGTTAAGAAAAAAAACTGAAAAAAATTTTGACCTAATAAAATATTCTTATCATTGTTCTGCTTTTTATAACAATAAACTTTAATATACAATTCTAACAATTTAGGATTAAATAATGGACAGAAACAAATATAGTAACTTATTTAAGCAAAAAGTAACTGATTATTTTAGTAATGGAACTCAGCAACATTATATTTATAAGCATAAGGAAGTTTTTTTCTGCATTAAACTTTTTTTTTTTGCAGATCTGTAATTTAATATTTCTACTATATCAAGGCGTTTTTATAGTAGTTTCTGAAACTTATTGTTCTAATTTTTAAATTATAAATTGTGTATTAGCAAATGAACATTTGTTCACAAATATTACCTACGTACGGTCAGTAAATTTCAATTTTTTGGGGGATGATCCATTGTGATTTGTTTTTGATGTACAACTTGGTATCTACTGACCCATCAGTTGAATGAAGATTTTTCCACACTATATTTGACAGATAGTTCATGTTGCTGAGTTCCATTACTAAAATAATCAGTTACTTTTTGCTTAAATAAGTTACTATATTTGTTTCTGTTCATTATTTAATCCTAAATTGTTAGAATTGTATATTAAAGTTTATTGTTATAAAAAATATTTTGATAAAATTGCATTTTCAAAACAAAATAACAAAATAAAAAACAAGTATTTTATCTACTTGAAGCAGTTCTACTAAAATTAAATATTTGTTTGTGGTAAATTGAACTTTGTTTTTGTAGTTATAGTTGTTTATATTGTAGCTATAAAGTTACTTTTGCTTTGGAATTGCTTTCAAAATACTTGTATAAGTAATTAAAAAGACTTGATAAACAGTTTTTTTTTTATTACTTATACAAGTATTTTGGAAGCAGTTTAAAAAACTTTTTTTTTAAGAAAAATGTTTTTTAAAGGTTTGTTTTAAATTTATTTATATGAATGATTTTAAAAAACAACAGTATTTTTATCTAAAATAAAGATTTTTCTATTTATTCATGTTGTTTTCCTCAGAACAACATGATTAAATAGAAATCTTTAGTTTTAAAAGGTAGTGTATATAAGGAGATAGAAAGAGTATCTTCTCCTATAGCTTTAGTATATACATGGGTTTTGGCAGGTATTTAGGAAAATTGAGGTCGGCAATAATTTGCCGACCTTAATCTTTTAGAGATCGGCATCAGGTCGGCAAATACAAAGGTCTTACCATAAATCATCGAAACAAAGTGGGCAAAACTGATTTTTTTTGCCGACTGCAAACATGTTTAGGTCGGCTTTGCCGAATGCCGACCTTAATTCCGAGGTTGTATATATATATATATATAAATATATATATAAATATATATATATATATATATATATATATATATATATATATATATATATATATATATATATATATATATATATATATATATATATATATATATATATATATATATATATATATATATATATATATATATATATATATATATATATATATATATATATATATATATATATATATATATATATATATATATATATATATATATATATATATATATATATATATATATATAGAGGGAGAGAGAGAGATTGATAGATATATATAGATATATATATAGACACACGCATGCACACATTTTTAATTAATATTGATTATTTTTATATATTGTTTTTTTTAACATGCATGGTTATGTTAGTTTGCTAATATTTTTTAGGGCAGATTATTTTCCTATGGTGATACACATCGCCATCGATTAGGATGCAATTATCAACAGTTGCCTGTAAATTGTCCATTAAAAGGTCAGCATAACTACCAGAGAGATGGACCTCAAGCATTTAATAATCAAGGTAGTGCTCCAAACTACTTCCCTAACAGCTTTAATGGCCCTCAAGAACAAAGACAGTTTAGCAATCATGTTGATAGTGTATGTGTTTGTTTAAACTTTTAATAGAATATTTAGCATTAGAATTGTTTTTTTCAACCTTTTTCAATTATTATATATCATAAAATTATTTTTTATTATTTAATATATTGTTTTATAGTTAAATCAAAATGTTCATTAAGTAATGAATGTATTAAATTGATTATCGATTTTAATTGTTGCTATTAGCTAATTTGACGTTGTTAATGATTTGTGCCAATTTTAAGCAATAAGCAAATCACAAATCAAATTTAAAACATCAACTGTGATCCGACTAAACTAGTTCTGTGACTTGGTTCTCACAAATTACCACTAAACAACAGTTCTGAGACTTCGCACAAAAAAATTTTGTTCTCACCAAAAAAAAACTAAAACGGTCAAACAAACAAATGTAAACACTTAAATTTTGTATTATGTTGTCAAAAGGTCAATCCTGTTGCAAAAAATCAATCCTGTTGGTTTTATAAAATATTTGGGTATCAAAATTAATTATAATTTATCTTTCATATTTTATCTTCATGATATAGCATTGTAAATAAGTAGATCAATTGTTGATTTAGCGGATGTTGATTTTTAAACTAACTAATCATATATTATTTTTAGCTTTCATCTAAAATGTCAATTGTCAAACATGGGGAAGATCCCAAATTTAAGTTTTTTTTAACGCTTGATATTGGAATCCTCCCCATCTTGATACAACAACATACCTACCTTTTTTATTTGTTAATTTTTGTTTATAAAAAAAAACTCTCGTAATCTTTTAGAAACTTTTTGTTCTTACATGCCTTTTTACATTTCAATTTTCATAGGAAAGCAAAGAACTATTTATACAGGAAAAATTTGAATAAGTATTTTGGTTATAAATTTCTTCTTAATTTACAATTCTGCTATAAAATAATAATAGTTCAGAGAAAAGTTTTGATCTGTGAGAAAAATTTTTTTCTCATTTTAACTTTTCTCTAAGTTTTTTATTTACTATTGTTTTGTTTCTACTTTATCTGGATAGGATACATTATGTTTAGCTTGTCAGGCAATGGTATCAGTGTTTAGTTGAATGGTTATTCAATTTTTTATTTAAACCAAGTTAGATTGCAATTGTGTGATTTAGTGGAAAGTGGTGATATTACATTTATAAAATGTTTTGACTAATAATATAAGTTTTTATTATTATTTTATTACATTAATATCTGATCACTTTATAGTTTTTGTTTAACTTATATCTGATCACTTGATAGTTTTTGTTTATTCCTTTGCTTATACTAAGTTTATATATTATTAAAATTACAAAATAGTTACATTGATGATGTAACTTACTTGTAATTACGAGTAAGTTACATCATTACTTTTATGCTTATTAAGTCTTAAATATATTGGAGTGTTCTTTTTAATGTTATTATGAAGGTTGTGGAGAGTTGTTCCCTAATAATTCTTTTTCTTTTTTTCTGAAAATCTTGAATAAGCATTTTGTTATTTTTAGTACAATGGGGAGTGTAGAAGATATCAATCAGGTGATGAAGATAACTTCTCTCAGCCAAAATTGTTTTGGGAAAATGTGTTGGATGATAAAGAAAAATCAGATCTAATATCTAATATTGCTGGGCACTTAAAAAATGCTCAAGAATTTATTCGCAAGAGAGTTGTAAGTAATATTACAAAATGTTTTTATGGTGCAATCCATGATGCTTGTTATGATTTATTTTTAATATTTTCTAATATTTTTATTAAAGTAATATTAGTTGATTTAAATGAACGTGTTGTTGTTTAAACAATAATCTTGTTTTTTAAGCAGTAAGGTTGTTGATAATATTTACTAATGTGTCTAATGTCAGCGATAAATACAAACATGGAATTTGTTGATAATATTTACTAATATGTCTAATGTCGGCGACAAATACAAACATGGAATTTGCAAGTAGAAACTTTTTTGGTAATTGAAATGTTATCTAAAAAATGAATTATTGTATTATCATTGTATACTGTAAAAATCCGCAAAATCTATTACATTATACTCTTATTGTCATGAATCCATTATCAGAACATTTATTATGGCAATCATTGATCCAGGATCCCAAGATTTCTATACCAGATTATTTTTTGGTAAACAATAGTTATCAGGGTGATACACACACACACACACAAAAAAAAGCTAAATAAAAATAGAAAAAACTGGGTTGAAAATAAAAATTTTAAAATGTTTAGTTGCTTATCATATTCTACCACCTTGAACTAGGCTCTTGCAATAAATATATACTTTAATGGCTGCAGTTGGTAGTTAGCAGAAAGCAAAGGAGAAAGTTAAATAACAAGAAAACGGTTGAGAGATGACCTTCAAAACTGTAAACTGCATGTGTGAGGAAAACATAAAGACAGAACTTTTGAAGTATTGTGTTTGAGGTAAAAAACTAGGTTTTAAAAGTTTTTTGAACATGGTGGAATAACAAGTTGTATACTTTAACCGGAACAAGTTCCGGTTAAAGTATACAACCGTGCTGAATGATGAGCCATGTGAGATTGAGTTTAGGTAGAATAAGAATTTGTGTTGTGACACATATTGAACAAGAGATATGTACATCGCTTGAGCAGTGATCATAATAGTAGTTGTAGAAAATATAAAAATATGCAACCTTATGTCATAAGGGACAGAAGCACTTTATTTACACTTTATTCCAACTTCATTTACAATGTGTTTTTTTATTATGTATAAAAGAGAATGAGCATATTTATAAGGACCAATCCAAATATGACAACAGTATTCCATACAAAGATGAATAAAAGATTTATAAAGCTATAGAATAGAATCATGAGTAAGAACACTGGAGCACTATGCTGTATTAGAAGAGAGACTGCATTCAAGATCGGCTGCTTTTTCTAAACAATTAAAATTTCATAACTTTTTTGACCAAAGTATATAGTTGTCTCATCTAGCAAATAGAGCCACTTTAGGGAAAAGAATATTGGGAAGATCAATATAGAAACAACACAGAATTGAAATTTGATTGATGATCCAGCGTCGTGCTAGGCAGGAAATAAACAGGTTTTAAATTATGCTAGCTAATTAATGAAAAAGGAGTCCAAGGCTGTCCTACAAAAAATTTTTGCTTACCAAAAACTTTTGTAATCAGAGTTACAAGGCAGCGAGACATCTGCCAGGTTATACTTGATTACATGTTACCAGAATCTGGGTGATCGTGATGATCTTGATCTTGACCTGTAATATTTAATTTTATATGATTGATTATTTTTATAATTGGTTAAATAATAGGTATCGGCAGTTTTCGTCTGTTGGTATCAGCATTGGCCAAAAATGTTTAATGGGTACATCACTAATAATTTTACCATTAAATTGTACAATTAATACCTTATTAAATTATTAAAATTATTTTGTCTTTGGCCTCCTTTCTATGCTAAAATTTTTTAATGTCTACTTCTGACAGACTTGCTGCAAAATAATATTTTAACTTTGCATCCCTGACATCCTTGTAAGTGGAGTAAATGTTATGATCTTTCTTCAGGGTTCCACTTCTAATTAATTGATAGGAAGTTTTGGTCCAACTGACATCAAATATTATTTGTTTGCTTAATGTTCTTAGCAGCAATAACATTAAATTAATCTCACAATTTCTTACTAGCAATAAAATTAATTCATTGAGTGAGTGAGATTCGCACCAGATACACACTATTTTTTAGTTTTATTAAAAGCATCGTCTGGCTTTCAACCACATTGCATTGACATATCCAGGCATCCAAATTTGCTCCCAAACTCCAGTACTTAATTATGGATATAATTTTTGTATAAGTTCTTTGCATTATAAAAAGAAAAATATATAAAAAAGTATTTAACATGCTTTTCAAAAAGTTCTTGTCAAAAAGTTAGCGTAAATTGTTATTGAATGTGACATTCAAAGTGTTAAAAAAATATATATATAACTTCTGGATACATCAATAACTTTTGTCATTTGTTTATTTTTTATTTTTCTGAGGATTAAGCATTCGTTAAGCCAATTCACAAACCTCTATTCAAAACCTTTAACTCAAGTTTACTAAATTCCCCTTTTTTTATACAAGTAAACAAATTTTTGAACAGCATGCTTAACATCAACATCTTCAAGTTCAGCCACTTTGGCTGAATGGCTTTGAATAAATCTTCAGTAATATTTTTTTTTTTTAAATACCAAGATTGTTTTCTTTGACAAAGTTATAAATGTCTAAGCTTAATAAAACCATATTTAAATTAAAAAATAATTCTTATTAACAAATAATTTTTATTTAACAGTTAAATTTGCTGCACAGACTACTAATTCTTGGTATTATTAAATTACTAAATACAATCAAAAATATGCTTTTGCTATGCAAGTAACATCAATTAGGGTGCATTGAAAATTTTTTAAATCTGTCTTGTAATAGCTCTAAATATATGGGATATAATAAATTATCACTGGATTTTAAAAATTTTTGGAATAAAAAATATTTTTAGAAGTGTCCCAAGTCAATTGAACATTTACACATTCCCTAATATTTTTGAAAAAAAAAATTCTACAAAAGTAGATAACCTGGTACTCAAAAGAAGCAAAATTTTATAAAAAGTTCAAAAATAATATTTGTTTCCTTTAAAAATTATTTTTTAAATTTTATTACATAATAACTATGGTTTTTTAACTAAAAATAAAAAAGTGCATTTTTACAAGTTTTTTGATAATATTTTTTTTTCGATGTTTTTTATAAAACAATTATTTTTTTTGATTTTTTTATAAAATTTCAATTTTTTTGAGTACCAGGTTGACCTACTTTTGAAGATTTTTTTCCCCAAATATTAGGGGTCTTATAAATGTTCAAGGGACTTAGGGCACCTCTAAAAAAATTTTTTTTTTTTCATAATTTTTTATTATTCCAGTGATATTTTATTATATCGCATATATTTAGAGCTATTAAAAGACAATTTTAAAAAAATTCTGTTTTTCAATGCACCCTAATATCCATATCAACCCAGGGTTGGCAAAAAAACCCAACCTAAAAAAACCCAAAAAATCCACCTTAAAAAAACCCAATAAAACCTAAAAAAACCCAAAATCGATTTGGGTTTTTTTAAAAATGACTTATTTTACAACTGATAACTCTGATTTTAACACTTATAAATGCTTTATTATCAGCAAGTGCAACCTTTATACTGTAATTACTCTTGTAAACACTGTATTTATATACATAATGGTCTTTAGAATATACCCAAAATCGATCAATCTGTTTTTGTAGCAAGTTAGTTATTTATTATTTTTTTAAAACATTTAGCAAGTTATTATAAATGTTATTGAAATATGTATTAAAGCATTAAATTAGTTAAATACTTTTAAAGGAAATAAAAATCATTCTATTAACTAAATTTCAAGACATTACTAGTTATTTAGTATCTTTATTCTCCTCTCGAATGTCTATATTCCTTTATATTGGTATTTGATCTTTTATTTTTTAAAGCTTATGTTGTAAACTGCAAAAAAAAAAAAAAAAAATACAAAGCCACAAGCAAAATACTATATATAAAAATTATTAAACTTTATTTACAGTTTAGAAATGGAAAGTTGTCAGGCAAAAAAATAAATGCTTCAGTTTACTAGGTTTGTCCTTAATTGCATACAACTTTAAAACTAAAAAAAAATTAAGTTATGTGCAAGCAAGTTTGCAACATGTTTGCTCTTTCAATGATAGAACATGTTGAAAACTTGTATGCATTTCACAACGACAAGATTTGTTGGTAAAAATGACACTCGTGCTCATCTGTCTTTTGACAGGTTTTGAATATTTTGCATCAGCTACAAGTTTGCAACATGTACCACCAACAGGGGTGACTATGAACAGCGGGTTAAAAATTAACATCAGTATCAAGTTGCTTAACAAATTTATTTTAGATATTTTAAGAAACAAAGTTTAGGCAAAAAGCCATTTTTTGCCAGTCCAGTTGATCAGGCCGATAACTTTTCCAGGAAGCTGGACAGTATAATGTTCTGATAAAAAAAAATGTAGTGATTAGGCTAGCAGTTTTCTTCTATGATACAAAAATGTTTAAAAAGTGTTCATAGTCATCCTGATTGGTAATAACTTATAAGGTTGCAACATCATGTTGAAAACTTGTTGATTACATTTTGTAAACTTGTGCAAAGTAGTTTTTGAAATGATATGTTGAACATGTTAGTAAAAAAAACTAGTTTGCAACATTTATATTGTCTTACCAACTTTGAATAACTCAATTGTCATAATTTTAACACTGATTTTTTTTTAGTCAAAAATATTCTGAACATGTTTTTAATTTAGAGTAATTAATTAACATCATTAATAGTTGATGGAGTCCCTTTTTGCACTATAGGTAAAATGTGCTAGTAGACTAGTAGTAAAACATTTGGCTTGCAACCAGAAAGTTGGGGTTCAAATTACCTGTCTCAATCTATTTCTCCACACAGCGCCTTTGTTTAAAAATTTTAGTTGTAAATGTTGTTTTTTAGTAAAAATGGTAATGTTAAGGATTGAGACAAAATATTTTTAAAAAATGAGTCGCTCCCTTGACTGAAATGGTCGTTGGAGCAATAGGGAGGTGAATTTATGAAATTAAAAAAAAAATTATTGTACTCATACAATTATAAAAATTTGGTATTT